TGCAAGAGTGTCCATCATTAACACATTCACATTGTGGTCCACCCACTCTAATCAAGGGGTCAGCTCAGATTCAGATACAGCAGATATAGCACATGGTGGCCACGAACAGACAAGCTGACGGTCACCTCTCAGATACCAGCTGTAAGGATAGAGTCTGCTGGCCTACTAATGGAAATGGAGGCAATATTCTATCATATCTGCTCTATGAGAAACAAATGAATGTCCACTCATTATGCTGAGTTCAACTCTATTACAGTAATTGGCCATCTCAGCTGAAAATGCGCCTTGTCATTTACCAAAGAAAATATTTATCATATAAACCAAACTATTAGGGTTGTATTTGGTTTTGTGTTGCCTTCCAGGAGGCAGACCCACTTCCCAATATAGACACGTAGGAAGCCATTAGGGAGAATAAAGAGAGAGGTACTCTGACACATCTCCTAACCAGGGAGAAGGCTAATCTGGCTTGACAGTGATAGGGAAAACGCATCGGCTAATTACACAATGCTACCATGCAGCTCCTTTTTACCCAGGCCTATCTCTGTGCAACAATTTATTTGCACGGTCTTGCTTGGCATTGCAGGCAGTTAAATTTGTGCTTCAGTTTTTGGTAAAATGTTGTTTATTCTATTCCCGAATCGGGGCTTGATACCCAGCTGGAGCGACACTCCAGCCAGATAAAGCACATCCAGAGGTAGAGGGAAGAAAAAAGCCTCTGTCTGAGGAATAGACTGAATTACTGGCTGGCTAGCTAGAGCTGGGAGACAAGACAAGAAACTCTCTCTCATTTTCACTCCTGCTCCCCCCGCGTTCTGTGTAGCTTCTCGCCTTCCCCTCCCTCACTTTGTATCGCTTTCACTCACAGACCCTCCCCTGTCTCTCCCTGTTTCTCTCCTGCCTTCCCTCCATCTCTGTCCAACTCCCTGCTTTTCTTTTTTCCCCCCCCTAAGCCCTGAGAGTGGTGAGAATGAGAGGAGGTGGGAGGGCAAAGAGTGAGGAAGACAGAGAGAGAGAGAGA